CACCAGAGATCACAACTGTATTATATTCAAGAGAGTGGTTTTATAGTGTATATCTCCTTTATAATTTGGCAAGTCGGGGAAATATTTCAAACTGAACAGCCCTGGATGTATTGTTCCCCTCTGAATAGTCAACTTTCGTTCGGACTTATTTTTCTTGAAATACGAACCGTAATGCTTTAGCACCATGACCTTGTCATTAAGGTGTAAAATAAACTGTTATGTTTCTGGCACTAGGCCTCCAATCTACTCTAACCCTTACCCTACCCTCTGACCTAGTCTACAGGTTGATCAAGACTACCAACAATTGTAGAATAAAACTGATCCTTTCACCTGACTACTATAACCTAGTCTTAAAAGTGAGTAAGTTCATAGAAACTACTATGTAAAGCACTGGCCGAGGTCACAAATAATCTAGTCTACAATTGATCAAGACTATCAAGAGTGAGTGGTAGAATAACTCTTAGCCTTCCACGGACTACTATAACCTAGTCTACAGTTGATCAAAATTACTAACAGTGAATGGTAGAATAACACTAAACCTTTCCACTGACTACTCTAATTGATTTCTGTGGTTGAAGAGTTTTAACAGATCACTGATCGTTAGTGATGGGAAACGTATCGAACATGACTTCTATGATTAAACAGTTATCGGAAATTCCTATTTCATTTAGTTGAATGGTTTGGTCGGAAAGGTTATTAAGAGATTACTGATCTGACTTCATTTCTGATGTTTGCGTTTATTTGGAATTCCACGAGGTACTGAAAGGATTCTGTTATTTACATTGTTTCTAATGGTTATGAACGGATTTAATTACAGTTTTTTTGTTGTCAAGGATTTTAAATTCCATAATGCCCACACAATGGTAAGATATGTTGTTTTTGAATCTCTTATCTTTTTAGCGTATAGGATGATAAAAATAAAACAAACTTGACTACGTATGTTTTTAGAAAATGGATTGTATGGTCATTGTATTGAGAAACTCTCCTTTCAAATGGATCTTCTAATTATCCCAATTTGATAAATCATTTTTTAGGTCGTTTTTGGAAATAACTTGTAAAACATTATAGTTTATGGAAACTCAGGCCTTCCTGGTTCATGCTATAAAAAACATTTAAAAGACTAAACTAACTAAACTTGACAATTTTTGATAACGATATATAATTCAATCCTAAAACTACATAAAAATAACTTTTAACTGTACAAAATTTAAATGTTTGAATTTTTCTAATCTGAACACCAATGCCTTGTTCCTTGTTTGATAAGTATTTGTTGTAACTGCTGGTTTGATAAGTATTTGTTGTAGGTCTAACTGTAGAAATATAACGTTGAGAATTAACATACTTATATCAAAATTGATTTTTTTGAAGAATAAGAGAAAGTGAACAGGTGTGTTTATGAGAAATATCTGATAATATTAAAATATTCTGTATTTATTGTTTATTCTCTATAAAATACAACATAAATCTTCTCTTTCTCTGATTTCTACTGATAACAACTCGTCTTTTATCATATTATCTCTCTAACAAATAGAATGGAATAGAGTTTCTATTGTCAAACTGGAACAAAGATATATCACTCTTCTCTGTCTGATATTAAAACATAAACACAAGCATTATAGACAGAGGGAATGAAGTAGAAGTCTCAGTGTTAAATTGTTTTACTTTCTCATAGGTCTTGGTGTTATATCTGTTGAGTATTTTCTTAATGAATCAGTGGTTTGCTCGCTAACTTGAAGGTCCAGTCAGTGGCACTTCTCATTAAGAAGAGACAATAAACAAGGTGTCATGTGCCACACAAACTGTGCACTTTAAAGATCAATCAACAGTGGACTTAAAGTAGAGCAGGCTGATGCGGCTGTCCTGACAAAATTTCCCTCATTGCACACTATATGGCATTACTTTGCTAGACAATAAGTCAGAGCGTAAGTTAAAGGGATTTTAAAGAGGTTTTCTAAATTTTGTATGCATATCAGGGACATTGATTTGCATTATTCAAATTTTCAATCAGACGTCTTTGGTTCTTCTAATTCCACTAAAACTAAGTGTTTCATGATGTTAGCCTCACGAATTTGCTTGAATCATATAAGACCTTTGCGGAGGTGACGTCATAAAATACTTAGTTTTAGTAGAATTGCACATGACTCTTTAAGGTTCTACTAAAAGAAATAGATATTGTATATTAGAGGTTTATAAACTACTTCCAATATCAAACAAACTGAAATAAACTGATGACTTTAAACTTATATCACCTCAATCAGTTCCCCAATTTATTTATTTATTTATATTTGTAATAAAAGCAGAACATCAGAATGTTACATTCGGAACCAGGAAATTTAACTCCATTTTATTTCATCAGAAAGTCATCATTATTTATCAATTTAATATTATAGTCAGTACTGTGTGTTTAATATTTTAAAAGGCCAGTTGAAATTGAAACAAGTTAAAGTCTGTGTAATGGTGGAGTGAAAACATTGAAAGAATTAAAATAATAATAGAATTTCTATCGATTAGTGTGTTTTTTACCATAGAATAGACTCTTTATATATCCATTATGTCTATCATTGTCTCAAAAAACAGAATAATGTGGCTTAGAGAGTTTGACAGAATTATCCTGGAATTGTCCAGGATTAAACGATTTGTCTGGGAGAGGTTGTTCCTTAATCTGTGCCTCTTATTCATTGAAAGGTTGACCTTCAATAATGATACATGAAAACATACAGAATTATTCTGGAATTGTTGACAAGTCAGCTTTTTGTCTGGGTGTAAAATCTGTTTTTATTATTTATTGAAGTTTGTAGGATCTTATAAGAATGACAGTATGAGGATAATTAGCAGAATTCTAATCTAGAAGTTGATATTATTTGCTGTATTATGTCTGCTGAAATGTTTCTATTTCTGTCAATAAATAAAACAAGACAAGCCTCTCCCTTTAATCTTTATGGGAGGCAATTGTTGTCACTTCAGGGTCATTTGACTTTTGGAAGTTTTGATATCTCTAATAACTCTACTGATGGACAAGATTGTCCCCAAGGTCATTTTTAAACTTTCTGGAAGGCACTGAATGCAAGTCAAGGGAATTCAAATTTGAGGTTCACTTTGAGTACTTCTATTGTGGTGAATGTCACTAGTAAGTCAAGACTTGTTCACTCTTCTAGAACACCTGATGTCTTTTGGTGACTGGGTTAAGCAACTCTGTATCTCTTTTTGTGAGCCCATATATCTATTACAACTGTTTAAACTTCTACAACATTTCAGTCTTGAGTTCAAATCTAAAGACTTTATTGAATTTGAGTGTTATAAATATTGTGGTGGTAGTCACTAGCAAGGCAGTGATAACATCTTCTAGAACACTTGATTCCATTCTGATACTCGGTTTGTCAACTTGGTTTCTATTTGGAAGAGTTCATCTGACATTTGTTCTAATATATAACTATTAATGCACAACCAATTAGCAATATAAAAATCTGTACGAGAAATTCCATTAATAAAAATCTCATCCAAATTCTGATTATATTGGTAGTAAAAGTTGTCAATGAGTGACATTTTAAATTCTTATAAAGTAATGAACTTAATCTAAATCATTCTAAACACCTGATGATACTTCTCGTTTGAGGAGTCCACTACTATACAACTTTTACTACTGATTTTGTCATTCTTTGGGATATTTGGTCAATAGAAGTGTTTTGCTAGTACAGATTTTTATCCTACTTTGTCTGTATTTGTTTAACATGATTTTATCAGTTCCCTAGAGATTTTTAACATGTTTAAAGTAGAAATAATGAAATGGTTTGTCAAGTTTTTAATATTTAAGAGCATCTCATTGTTTTGTAGTTTCATAGAAGATAAAGGAATTCATTAAGTGATTAATAGTTTTTTTATAGTTCAGAGTTTTTAACTGAATTTTTTCTATTTTTCTGCCATTAAAAATATATAAAATATCATGTGAATTGTTGAACTGAAGGTACCAAAGGCACAGGCGTGGGATTTCATGTAGTGCCGCTGAAGCCTTAAATTTTGGCTTTTATCCTTCCTTATTTACATAGTTTTTAAAATAAAATACTTGAATCCAGGTTTTATGAAGGCTTCATCCTCTATATATTTTAGCCAGTAAAGTTCATGAAATATTTTATTTTTTATAATCTCACTATTTTTATAAGTGGATTGGATTTCAAGTTGAATTTTACAAATGATTGGCGACTTCAATAAATTGCTAATGTATTTCCTGAGAGTTTTGAATTTTATTTGATATTTTTTTCACAAACAAATGACAAGTTCAGAGCAGAAGACACTTGTCAAAGTTTATTTTTACGTATTAAGTTGAAATCTCTGTGGAAGGAGGAAGTGTTTTAATGATTTTCTGTTTTCTGTTGTTATGCCAACTTGTTGAGAGTAAAACTAATATTTTGAATTAATGATCAAGTAGGGAAATAACTTGAAGATTTGTGGTGAAGTTTTACATTTGATAAATATTATCTTTTATTGCGTAAGACGAAAATCAAAAATTTGTATGTTGACATTTTGATTTTTGATTTCAATGAAAAATATTATTATATGAAAGAAAATCAGACTTCTGAGTGAATACTAGGATGGTGAAAATCAATGCTTTAATTGTCTCCAATATACATAACAAATTCTGAAAACCTCTGTACAATCCTTATCCTAATATAACAACAGTTTCCCCATTGTACACTTCACATATTCATTTAATATTAAAAACTGATACTTTAGCATTCCCCCTAAGTTTTATTATTTATTTATTATTGATGTTGTTAAATTCCTTGTCATTTATATTTTTCAGGATGCCAAGTCGGACTCCAGTGAGGGTGAGGTGAAGAAAGCTCTGGATGCAGTTGACAAATCAATAGATGGTTATGATGATCATTCAGTAGCGTCAGACGAGAGCAGAAAATCTCAAGAACTACCCCCTCCTCCCAGTGTACCAGGGGCTCCACCTGCACCTCCCGGCGTACCTCCAGTTCCTCCTCCGCCAATTTTACCAGGAGTGCCATCCCCTCCACCACCCCCAGGGCTACCAGGAGTGCCACCAGCTCCCCCTGCTCCTGGAGGGCCTGTACCTCCACCACCCCCCTTACCTGGAGGAGGGCCACCAGAGGGAATCAAATTGTTATCTGCTGTTGCTGAAGAAGAGCTTCCATTACCGCCCCCACCCCCAGAGTTTGAAGCCCTCAATGGAAATCATCTACCCCCACCAATGAATGGACACGATGGTCTGGAGAATGGGTTCAGAACACCGTCTCCAACTCAATATGAATCCATAGAGAAATTCTCAAAAACTGTACCCACAAGTGGACCACTGTCTCGTCGCCCTGAATTCATCATTCCTCCTCCTCCATCATTCCCACCACCCCCAGTCCCCGACGAGAACGCCCGACCGGTGAGCTTCATGCAAGTCAATGAGCTGTCTCCTGAAACTCAAGACAAACTATCCAACATGATGCAGAACCCCAATATGCAGAACCTGATGAGTCCCCAGTCCATGGGAGATTCGGTCTGCTCTCTGCCTGAACCTGAAGCTGTGTATGATATGCTTGAGTATGCTGAGAAGTATTTTAATAATCACGTACGAGATTATGGTGGCACTATCATGAAAAGTTTGAAGAAAAGGCGGCAATCAGCTACAGTAAGTTTTTTTTGATTTTTTAATTTTATATATATATATAATGTATATAAAGTTGAAATTAGAAATTATTTTATTGAAGAAGCTAATAAGCTAAAAGCATGCTAAGATATTATGTATATATGAATTGAATATGGATTAAATAACAATTTGTTCTCTCAAAAATGGACTAAAAGTGTTTCATTTTACCAAGAATTGATGACAACCCTGATTACTTTATATATATATATATATACAGACAAAAAAATGTTTTTATCGACTTTAAACCAAAAACAAAATGCTTCAAGAGATTTACAAGGATTAATTAATAAACTAACTAAAAAATTAGTAAATTTATAACATTTTCCAGAAATTAATAAAATGCCACGAGACACAAAAAAAGATCCAAGGGGTCAAAATAAAAAATTACATATATATTTACCTGCCCAGACATTTCTTTGAAAGATTACAAGATATGAGGCTATAGGACTGACAGAAGGGATATCATTTTTATAAAATTCACATTGAAGAATGTTTGCCTACTTACTTATTATCATGTAAAAGCAGTAAAGTTATAAAACAATTCCATAAAAGAATAATTTAAAAGAAATGACTAATGAGGGAATACCAACTTTTTTGAATTTTTATTTTTTCTTTGCATCTGGAACAATTTTGAATAGACATTGAGGACTTCACAAAACTTTCATCCTTAAAGGTGAAGAAACATCAACGATAAATCAATTCTAAATGAATTGGCTGAAGTAGATATTTAGAATACGAAACTTCATTACTCTACCAATAAACTCTTCTAAATCACTTCGCTTTTCAAACTTTTTCTTCCTCCTTTTGAGGAGAGTTCTTTCATCAAACCAATAAAATCTCATAACATGTCATGGAGTGTCATGGCCAGGGAATTTATTGAAATAGCGTTTAAAGGTACAGTGCCAGTTTGAGATGGACATTTACATGATGTCATTTGCTTGGTTACCTTAAACAAATGGTGGTTGTGGGTTCTGATCTTGGACGGCATGTGGAAGTCTAGTGACCTTGAATAAGTCCTCTTTCTACATTATTCTAGTCAACCTAGCAGTAGATGGGTTAACAGTGAAAGAATCTTGTTATCCTTGTACAAAATAGTTGTTTCTTTGTGTTAACACATACTAGATATATATCGTACAGAGTGTTTTTTTAATGTTAAAGTTTTAGGATGAAGTGGTGATGAAGGCAGAGGGTCCCTTTTATTTAATGACAGTTAAGAGTGATACTCCCCTATGTCAATGTTAAAGCTTTCTAAATTACCAACTAGGATATCAAACTAGATCATAATATAAGATTTATTGCTGGAAGTTTATTTGATAGGAATGATAAAATCATAGTAGTGTAAAATGTTAATAGAAATGATAACTTATATTCTACTTCATATTATACTCAGTACTGGTATTACAAGGTTATAATAGTTTCTATAAAAGCACTGGCCAAGGTCAACAGTTTATAACATAACAAACAACAGCATGTTACCATCTACCCACCAAGATCTCAATCATGTGATTCACATTCTGGTATTAATGGTATTTATAGAATATATATTATAGACTTGTAAGAGTGGAAGTAAAACCATACTTCTTGATTGTATTGTGGTATCTTGTGGGGCACATTCAACACAGGGATATGGTAGGATTTCTGGTCTAGCCTAACCTGTGACAACATCACATCCCTAACTGGGTAGGATCAGAGTTTTTGAACTAGTCTGCCCCATTCATTTTGTTGGCTTGTTCATTAGCCCCCTTTTACACCAGGCCGTTCCGTTTTCTGTCCGGACGGTTCTTTGGTTGTAGTGTAAATGAAAATCCATTCGATCCGTTCTGAGAACAGATATATTTTATAATATAAAAGGGTTATTAAGACTTGTATATAAAAGGTTTTCTCCTTGTGATATGATTATTTGATATTTTCACTGAACAAAGATTAAATATAACAGCATACATTACAGTAGAATACTAATACTGATTGGTTTAACTAAAAATTCCTGTTTCTGAGACTAAAGTATGATTGGTCAAATAAAATGGTGAATCTGTTTAATAATATCAGTGATGAAGACTGAATATAACAGTTTGTATAACGATATAAATATTGCATGTTGTTTTTAATTGACTCAGTCTAGTTACATCAGATAATTACAGAAAAATACTCACGATAAACCATGATATTGAATGAGAAAAAATAGGATTGAGAAATAATAAACGATTTCCAATTGTTCCTGTCTAAAATAATATAGAGAGAAACAAGTGGTGTTATTGACTAGCTGTCATTAAAGTGCTGTTAATACAAGACAAAGAGATTTCCAATTGCAGGTTTCTTTAATATTACATGTTGTTGATTGACTGTAAAATATTGGAGATAGTTTTTGATGATAGAATGAAGTAACTTTATGATATGGAATAATAGATAGAAATAGTTCCTATATGTTGGATATTTAAATTCCATTTTTGTATGCTCTATCAATTTTGGTGATAATCAGACAAATTTAAAATTCGTTAAATCTTATGAAATGAAATAAAATTGGGTATGCATTTTAATATTTTGCTCCAGGTTGAGCTGATAAAAACTTACTTAATCTACGGCAGAGAGTAAATTATTTTCTATCTGCAGATATAGAGGTAGGATATCAAATGATCCTAACAGCATAAATGAAACTCCAAATACAAATTCACAGTTTGACAACACATTAGTAGCAGCTAATAAACTTTTCACATGTGAAAGTATATCAATTTGAATTGGGAAAATATTTCATAATGAAAAGTGGTATCAGGTGTCTAGAAGAGTATCCATACCCTGTCTGGTGACACAACTGCTCAATTGGCTGCAGCCACTGAAATTTGTACATGAGGAAGTATATCAATCATAAATGAGGAAGTATTTCATACTAGAGTAAGAATACTGTCTGGTGTAGTATGAGATAAGCACTCTATTATAATGTATAATAAGTTCTTTGCTCTCTCATTTCTTTTGATAATTTTAAAGTGTCTGCTTTTTATCAACTTATTGATTTCTTTAAAAGACGGAATTGACGCGTTCAAAGGCTATTCATATTTTTTATCTATTTGACAAAAATCCTGAAAGCAAATAAAAGTCTGGAATGTTTCAGCAAACATCTGGTTTCTGGTAAAAGATCGACTGGTCAATAAAAGATGAATATATTCTTGGTTGTGTGATATTGAAACACTTCTTTTAAAGTTCAGTTCGTTATTGACCATCATAGGTCAAACATATTTGCCATATATTAGACCATATTTGCCATAGCTCAGTGGTGGTCTTTTTGAATTGTAAAATATTAAGCTGTAAGGAAGATAAAAGTGTCTTTGAAAACTTCAGTCTATGAAGATTCTTGTTATTTACTGAAGAGTCACAAGGCCAAACATCTTTTCATTTCTAGTTATTAACTCTTAAGTGATTTTGACAGAGTAATCTCTCTTTGAAATGTCGTCTGTTTATGATCCTAATCAAAAGAAATCTTACAAATATACTTGAAAACTTCAAATGAGAACGTAATTATAATGCTTAATAGATGTCAAATAGTGTTAGAGTGGACCTCTCTAGTAGTCTCTAGTATAAAATCCAGAGTTCGGTGAGGTCTGGTGTTTCTATAGTGTAGAGTTAGATGATGTCTGGTATTTCTATAGTGTAGAGTTAGGTGATGTCTGGTGTTTCTATAGTGTAGAGTTAGGTGATGTCTGATGTTTCTATAGTGTAGAGTTAGGTGATGTCTGGTGTTTCTATAGTGTAGAGTTAGGTGATGTCTGATGTTTCTATAGTGTAGAGATAGATGATGTCTGGTGTTTCTATAGTGTAGAGTTAGGTGATGTCTGATGTTTCTATAGTGTAGAGTTAGATGATGTCTGGTGTTTCTATAGTGTAGAGTTAGGTGATGTCTGATGTTTCTATAGTGTAGAGTTAGGTGATGTCTGATGTTTCTATAGTGTAGAGTTAGATGATGTCTGGTGTTTCTGTAGTGTAGAGTTAGGTGATGTCTGGTGTTTCTATAGTGTAGAGTTAGGTGATGTCTGATGTTTCTATAGTGTAGAGTTAGGTGATGTCTGGTGTTTCTATAGTGTAGAGTTAGGTGAGGTCTGGTGTTTCTATAGTGTAGAGTTAGATGATGTCTGGTGTTTCTATAGTGTAGAGTTAGGTGATGTCTGATGTTTCTATAGTGTAGAGTTCGGTGAGGTCTGGTGTTTCTACAGTGTAGAGTTAGGTGATGTCTGGTGTTTCTATAGTGTAGAGTTAGATGATGTCTGGTGTTTCTATAGTGTAGAGTTAGGTGTTGTCTGATGTTTCTATAGTGTAGAGTTAGGTGATGTCTGATGTTTCTATAGTGTAGAGTTAGATGATGTCTGATGTTTCTATAGTGTAGAGTTAGGTGATGTCTGATGTTTGTCTAGTGTAGAGTAAGATGATGTCTGGTGTTTCTATAGTGTAGAGTTAGGTGATGCCTGATGTTTGTATAGTATAGAGTTAGATGATGTCTGGTGTTTCTATAGTGTAGAGTTAGATGATGTCTGATGTTTCTATAGTGTAGAGTTAGATGATGTCTGGTGTTTCTATAGTGTAGAGTTAGGTGATGTCTGATGTTTCTATAGTGTAGAGTTAGGTGTTCAGATGGGACAATAAATAGAGGTTTGTGTGCTATAGGCTGTACACGTTAAAGATCCCTCGACAGTTGGAAATTGAGAAAATGCAGGAAATTGAGAAAATGCAGGCTATCTGTTTATGAGAAAACTTACATATTATTAACAAAATAATTCTAAATCAGAAGGTTTCTTTCTGACTATTTTGTATTGTACACTTGAAGATACTTGCTCTTGAATGCAAAATAATTTCTGATATCTAATACCAGTTGGTTAAGAGTCTATCCAATCTTGTTTCACTCTATCACCTGAATCAGTTCAGGAGGTGATATATTTGTACGTTATTTCAGACTGAAATATTAAGGTACAGGCAGCTTATGGTTTCTGACAGGAATGCTCCAAGGTCGTTTATCAATTTAATCACCAGACTATTCAAACTGACTTCCATCTACAATTCACATTTATATTTAACAAAAACAGAATTACAGGTCATTCTTACAATATATTCCTAGGTCACATAAAACTTTTCAAATTTACAATGACATGCATAATCATTGCTACGAGAGGTTGGGAAGAGGGATAAAAGTTAAGGAAGCACCCAATCATCTAATATGTTTGCTGGCAGCAACTGTCAAACTTTCTATGCCAAGGTTTTCAAATTAAGTCATTTTTCCTCATAACAGTCGACACAGGTGTAAATTGTTATGGATAATGTGGGAAAGATCAATACCAAGAACTTTGGCCAAGGATCAGCTAGTAGCCTAGATAGGATCATAGAGAATCATAAACCTGATAAAGTAAAAATCTTCTTGTTATTTCAACATTTATCAAAGATAACAAAAGTCAATTTGACTTCCACCAATAGAATTAAAGATTTGAACGGCAGAACGATACCAGAAAACCAAAATAAGTTTGACAACACATTGACAGTAGCAAATGATCTTTTCTCATAACATTTTCTATAGATAATTTAAAACTGATTTGGCTAACAAAGAATGAGTTCAGGCTGAACCAATGGACCACACGCATTTACCATCTCATAAAACTGTAAAAAAAGTTCCTTCAAATATCAAAGAACAAGATCAGGGTCATCTAATAGAACACAGACATTTAACATTTCATAATACCACACAATAGATAATACAGGTTGAACTGAATATCCGAGAACGTGTTCAGGGTCAACCAATAGAACACACCAGACATTTGATAATCTTTCCCAGAACATAGATAATCTGATAAACGAACAGAAACAGACAGAAACAGACATGGCAGATATGAGTTAATTGAATGTAGAGCTGATAGGAAGAGGAGGATACGAGTTAAGACAGGACACAACGTGTGACTAGACCTTCAGTGGGAATAGAAAAATAATAAAGTTAAGACTTGACCAGGGTTTCTCTAGTTAATTAGATATAGCTCCATATATCATAGTTGATATTTCTCAATGATTTGTTCATGTGTTTCAAACGTAGCATCGTGCAGGGGTCAGTGTACACTTAATGGTCCTGGTGATGGCTGTTCAAGAAAATTGCATAGAGAGCAAAGCAGCACAGTCCAGGGTCCTGGTAGGATCTGTACAGAAGAATGGAAATACCACAAAAAGATCTTTCATTTTCCATCATTTCAAATTTTTTATGTTTTTCCCCAATCATTGTCATTGTCCCGATACACCACAGCACATCTATATTTATACCTACTACAGGGTGGGTTACATTGCACACGATGTCTGAAAATATACCTCCAGATAATTATTTCATGTGGACATCCAACATTTTCCACCTGTGATCAGATTTGATTGACCAATACAACAAATAAATACAAGCCCATAAAAATACATAACTTGGTTATTAAAAGCCCCTGAAAAACGTAAAATTTTGGTTGAAAACAAGATCAATAAATGAGATGTAAAATTTTGTGTTTCAGGATGTGTTATCTAAAGAAGAAATGTTAAGATATTGTAAAAGTGGTTTAATACCAACATCTCATATACATCTACATGATGCTGAGAATATCCATCAAGCTTGTAATATATTTAAGGTATGTATGATTCGACATGACCTTTCAATACACTTCCATTGACTGTCAAAATGGTGACAATATCAGATTGAGCAGCTGTGGACCCAGGGACCAATCTATATTCAAGTCCCAACATTATTCTTTGCCTCCACCATACCTACAGTCGATTTCCTGTAGGATTTAGGTTATTATATATTTCAATGAATTAAAAGAAAAAAATGAAATATGACAATACAAAAATATCAAAAGAAGTAAAGGTGCTGGTCTAGTGGTCTTGGCATTTTTGAATTTTCCTATGCACATGTTTTGTAGACTTTCTTTTGCTCAACACATCTGAAGGAGACTTTTTAATAATATGAACGCTTCATTTATTTCAGGATATCACTAAGTATATTCGAGATGAAGCGAAAGAAGATTCGTCCGTGACGACCATACAACATATTATAAAAACAGGATTAGAACGTATCGAGCTACGAGATGAAATCTTCTGTCAGCTGATCCGACAGACCAATGAAAACCCTGAACCAGAGTCACTTCGTCAAGCCTGGGTTTTAATGTGTCTCTTCAGTGCTTCTTTTGCTCCCAGTAAAAACCTTCATAAAGTAAGTAGAAATGTCCTGAAAGGCTTTAAATCATCATAAAATATGTGAAATACAGGTCAGTTAGTAGCAAGTTGGATTATCATCTGCCAAGACAGTTTATTGGTTCAGTTGGAAATGAGTACGTCTGCTAGAACAGTGGGATAGCTCAGTCATTAGCTATTTCAGAATATATAAATAAATATTGACTGAAACAAATATATGTTAAACAAGGATTCAACTTTATTTTCTGTGTTTTTCAGTATATGTTATCGTATGTAAAGAAATCGTGTTTTGATAAAAATGTTGGTAAATATGCTCTGATGACCCACAATCATTTAACGATACCTCGTGCCACGTCTAGAAAATATCCTGCTTCTTCCATTGAAATTATGGTTTGTACTTTCTTATTTATAACATATAAAACAGCCATTTTTAACAAGGATAACAACTTGTTCACTTGTTGGTCCTTGACCTCTTGGCTTTTACATCTTGGTTAACTGGAATTATACGGAAGATCACCAGACTTTCAACCCACAGCCACTATTTGCTCAACATAACAAAGCTCTATTTGACTTCATATTGGAATCGTAAAGAGCATTATTTGGCCCCTTTTACAGATGCAGCTTTCAAATGTACCTTATGCTTACAATGCTATTTTATAATATTTGGATCCCAATTGTGATGTGACTATGTTTATGGGGCAGTTAGATAATGGAATATTACCCATTTCCAACTCCTCAAATTCAGGAAAAATGGCTTCCTTTCTCCTGGATTATAGTTGACAAAGTAATATTCTATTACTTTTTCTCTACTTTTGTTTTATTAATTTCATTCTACTTTCATTTTATTATTTCAGAGTGTTCAATCACTAGCACCTATTGTGTGTAAAGTATTTTTTATGGATGGTAAGACGAAGGCTGTTAGTATGATGCCCTGTGATACAGCTACAGATGTTTTAGAGAAGGTGGCTAGAAAAATTGGTTTAAAATCTGTCGAAGGCTGGGCTATTTATGAGGTAGGGCTAATTTGTTTCATAGTCAGCTTTTTGTTGATGAGTTATATCCCATGTTAACCAGTTCATGACCATTTGTAACTTAGTTCTTCTGTACACAGTCAAACATTGTCCATTTAAGATATAGCCTACATGTAGTTGTAACTTAGATCACCAATTTACTTTACTCGTTGCTTTCAGAGTTATGTCCCATTAATTTACGTCATAGCCATTATAATTTAATAACTTTGTAAACAAGAACCTACCAAAATTCTAATTCAGATTTTTTTTTCATTATGTCCCATGTTTGAAATTTGAAATGTGCTTGAAACTTAGATCTCCAATTCATGCATTCGTTATTTATATTCATGGATTATGTCCCATATATTTACATGTCAGCCATTATAACTTAGATTGTTTGTATGCATGTCTCTATATTTCAGTTAACGAATGAATATGAAAGGTTTATAAGAAGTTATGAATATATAGCTGATATAATGGCACAATGGGAACTGTAAGTCACGTTTTTTTTTAAATTTTCTTTACAGAAATCGTCATTTAAATTTAAAGATATGAAATAAACACTGTATATTCATTGTATTATATGATTGTGTTTATAATGCACACCCCTTCTTAACCTCAAGTACTTCTGGAAACGTTTTGTAAAAATTAGCGTTCAAATGTTCAAGCTGCATTTTAGTGGTAAATTCTGCTTTTTTAGTCATAATTATATTTGGCCCTACGTATGTTGGTAGGTCCTGTATCTATGAAATATTCTTCAGTTGATGCAGCACGATATTTCTTTACATCAATAGGTGACATTTCATGTTATATTTTCAGTCAAGATAGAGTAGCAGCTAAACCTAGTCATTATGAAACAATATCTAAAAAAGGACCGAAGTTGGCTCTAGGTGGAGCAGACGCGAAGATTATGTTTAGAAAACGAGTTTATAAACATGTACACGACATTCCTAACGACCCTATAGAATATCATCTTCTATATGCTGAGGCTGTTTATAAAGTTGTGAAGGTAAATTTGATTTCAGATAGATGAATAATATTTTACAGTGATAATAACTAATATACAGAGGGAATTCTGATGTCTTATAACAGAGGAAAATTCAGAAAAAATCCATAAAAGAGAAAATCCTCAAGTTCCATGGGGAAATCCAGGGAGAAATCCTATGAAAAGGGGGAATCCTTGTTTCTTATAATAGAGGGGTGAGGGGTCCTCATCTCATATGGACCTCTATAGATAAACATCAAATCTTCCAAATGTAAAACTCATTTCATTTCAGATCTTCCATGTAAAATAAACATTATGTATATATTTTTAGATGGATGAGTTTTCTATATCTGATAAAGTAGCATTACAACTGGCGGGGTTACAGGCTCAGGTCATCTGGGGAACTTATGAAGAAGATAAACAATTCAGGTAGAGAAAATACTTTGATGTTATTTTTATCTGTTAAATCAGAAGGAGAATATAAGGCATAACACAATCTTAATTAGAATGAACTAAATGGGTCTGGTTTGATTAAGAATACATAATTGAGAAAAAAGAGTTATTTAGGTAACATAAACGCCATTTCATATTATTATCCCAGTCCATCCCTGTCTTCATTAGACCACATAGATGTAAAACTCCATTTCATTTCACTATTCAAATCCACATAAAAAGTAATAAGTAAAAGTCTATTTATCAACAAGATTATGAGGAAACTAATTAGCAATGGTAATTAATTATTGTTAATTATTATAGATATGGTGAAGCTGACCAATATTTATGTAAAAGAATTTTGGCCTCCTCAGGTAGAAACTGGTCAAAAGAAGTTGCAAAAGCTCACAAGGTAGGAAAAAATCTGCAATTGGTCGAAAACTTGTAAAACCTTGATATTTCTTGAAATTGTTGTCCAAGCTTTGAAATAATCTTATTTTAGTCTAGAGTGCATGATAATGCCATGAATATTTTCAACTGTCTTTTAGAATTAAAAGATTTTGAGAGCCAGAATCATTGAGAAGTTCTTAGGTCCTTGAATTTTCTTTTCTTTTTATTATGAATTGTATTGGATGAATGAAATTTTATTCATTCTGTTTCCAGCATTATGGTGATGGTAAAAGTACCCTGGAAGCTCAAGTCTGGTATTTAACGTGTGTCAAACAATTTCCCTTATATGGATGTACCATGTTTCCTATTTTACACAAAGGATTGTGGGCTCATTCTAGTGACGCTTTACTAGCAATTAATATGGACGGAATTAAATTTGTGCGTGCGAAGGACAAAATGGTGCTACATGATTTTAAATATTCACAAATTGAATCTATTTATATCGATCCGAACGACAACTATATTACGTTAGAACTTCAAGATAAAATTGAAACAGATTGTCCACAAAGAACGTTTATGTTCGAAACGAACCATAAAGAGGATGTCGGCCATCTTGTAGCCAGTTATTCGCCCCATCATGCATCTTGGATGAAGGCAGATTATGAAAGTTTGAAAAAGGTGAGTGAATTTTGAGAAGGGGCTGTAACATAGTCTGTTAGAATGTTAAAATCTTTTCATGACTTCATTTGCTTTGTGGTTACGAAAAATCGTGGTCGTGGGTTATAATCTCAAAAAATAATAATAGTAATAACATTTTAAATGACAGTGGTGGAAATAAGGTGAAAGATCTCTTCACAATTTGGTTAACAAGTGGGCGGAGCAAAGCAATGTGCCCAATGATTTTGTCTAGCTCTTTTTTTAGGATTAAAAACTGTGCATTATACTTGCAAATATATGGTATTCATATTGAAATTATATTACTTTCTGAATGCTTTACCACAATATATATCATTTCTGACTTTATTTGTTATGAATTCCAAAAAATTATTTCATAAATTTTGTGTTTTCTATATTTAGATAAAGATGTCCGATGAAGAGAAATTAAAACTATATGAAGAGTTAGTTCGATGTCGTAAATTATTATCAGAGAGTAGATTATTACAGAGACCAATCACTACAGCTGATACTGGCTTCTTTAAAAATACACTTCGAAGGTATGTCGTCTTGATTTTTACCTGAATAATTCATTTAATGAAGGAGTATCTTTCAAACAGCAGATATCTGACACCAGATTCAGAAGTCTAAATAGGATCAATTTGAAACTAGATTGGAATTAGGTTAATTTAGATTTTCCCTTTTCACACATCATGTAAAATAAGGTTCATTTTAGATTGACAAGGTCCTTTTATATATCAACAGGTTAACCAAGTCTAAAATTAATACCTTTTAAATTTAGGATAGCTATAGATTGTTCTTGATATTCGCAGATCACCCTCGTGCATTCTAACAATGATTTATTTACAGGTTAACCAAGTCTAAAATGACCACGTTTTAAATTTAGGATAGATATAGATTGATTTTGTTCTTGATATTTATTTTACAGGTTAACCAAGTCTAAAATGACTTTCCTTTTAAATTCAGATATAGATTGAATTAGTTATTCCCAGATCACCCTCTTTCATATATCATGAAGGATATGTTTTTTTTTACAGGTTAACCAAGTCTAAAATGGACAGATTACGGAACTACGCAGCTGGTGATACTGGTCAATTTGACGTGAATTATTGGTCATATACTAAATTACCTATAAAACAGAGTTTAACGTTAATACACGACCCAGCGATGGAGGAAGTTGCCATCAAGATGTTTACTTCTATTTTAATTTATACTGGATATGAAGAATCAGGTTAGCTCCCTTTAATTATGTTTTCTTAGGTGGCGCTCTATCGGTTCCAATTCTGCCCTAAATTGAAAGTTATGAAACGAGATATGACACATTCAATATTTACCCTTTTATTATACGCCCACATGAAATGGGGGGTGTATATTGACGTCACCCATGTCACTCGGTCTGTCCACAATTGCTCGTAAACACTCTACAAGTCACAATTCTTGATTGATTCTTGACTGATTTTGATGAAACTTGGCATGAGTGTTTGTAATCACCCAAGGATGAAGCCTATTGAAAATCCAAAAAATCGAAAAAATAACGAGTATGAGTTATTGCCCTTCAAATTTTAGCTTGTAAACACTCTAGAAGCTTCAATTATTGACAGATTTTAACGTAACTTGGTCTTTCTCCAATACTTTGACATCCTACTTTTAATTCGGTGCACATAGAAAACAATCTGAACCCTGTTCCAAATTGTTTTATTGAACTTCTAGTTGATTCCATGAATCCCAACAGGATGAGAAGATCTCACCAATCTAACAATGTTTTGTAACATGTTAATGTTGTATTTACTGATAAACAATGTATGACTTTTTAAATTTTTAAATTCTATAATCAGGTAACAACAATGATAACTATGATCATACTGGAATGATTCAAATCGTCATGACAAAATGTCTAGAGAGTGACCACGTCTGTAACGAGTTTTATTTACAATTAATTAAACAGACTACAGATCATCCAGGTACGTGGTGTAGCTTCTTTAAATATCATCAGATAGGTAGTGTCCAGGGCTGTTCTTATCCAATTATCTCATTGCATACAGCTCTATTTTGTTCTGTGTTTCATTTTTTTCTATGGGCTCCTTTACTCATTCGTAATTTCTGGTTTCTATCAAAATTTGATGAAAGAAACGAGACAAAGATTGGCTCATATAAATAGAGAGAATCCCTCAGTCAGTCCTAAATTATATTGTGGCATTTTGGAACTCCAACTGGAGAAGACTGGCAAATACAACGAATTCTTGAGCTCTCAGCAAACATGAATGGTAAATACTGTCAAATCAACAGTCTAGATCTCTAGTCTGACATGACTGGTATATACAAATCAAATCAATAGCCCTGGTTATTAGGAAAAAGCATGAAATTATCAGTTTCACACTAGCACTAAACCTGCACTGCCTGATGAAGTAATTTTATCAAAATCATTTTTGCATGAACTGTACAGTTATCAGAGATATTTAATGCACAGCCCTTGACCATCATGAAATAAACAAAAAACAGGTCCTTGTTTCTCAAAAAATCTTATTATAAGGAAATTTGTCATAAGTCTGATTTTTCAAATTTGACACCCAAGATTGATGTCTAAGATTGATAGGGGTTGTATAGCCTCTTCCCCTATTTCTTCATATTCAGTTTAGATAAAAAAAAATTGATATGATTTTTGGAACAACAAGGGGTCAAGCCAAGTTAAGTTTATAGAAAGAAACTAAGGCCACACTACCCTAGAAAATAATAAACTCTACTCCATGGTGATCTGCATGTGCTTAAATATCTTTGACCTACTTTAACTCAATGTTGACCTCAATGTTGACCTCAATGTTGTTATATCTAACTTATAGTTTTAAACCAAATCAAACAATTTTCCTTTCACAACCTTAAATATCTAGAATTAATATAATTATCACACCTTTACTAGAACCTGTTGGACATCTTTTAGATCCAAAATTTTAAACTTGAATCACCTAATGTCTGATAAAATGAATCTAATGTCTCATGTAAAATTTCTGAGCATTTCTTTCAGTATTTTTTTCTGTTGTTTTTGTCACCTAATGATGTTGTTTTCTTTCTTTTTCTCTGCATGTTTATTATTTTGGATGCTGTTTTTATTTTGGTTTTAACAGATGAGAAGAGAAAATTGGGTAAGATATATGATAGACAATATAAAGTTTTAAAACCGAGATAAGGCCAGATATTTTCTCTTTGTTGGATAATGAAGTTGACGAAGTTGAAAATATCAAAATGTAGAAAACGAAAACTGAACTCCAACAGAAACTATGTATTTTGAACTTTATAAAATCTATATCTTGTTTGATACAACCTAGCTGTAAATGGGTACAGATAATCCAGGAAAGATCAATGTCACAAGGTTTGGCCAAGTACAATCTGGTAGAAAGGATCCTTAGTAAACTTGTAAATGATTCTTTCTTTCTTTCTTACTTATTTGCTTTTATCAATTTAACCGTTTGTAATTGAGTTATCCAACAAATATAAAGATTTCTGCTCTAAAGAAAATACAAATAAATAGCACGAAATTGCACCTTTACTAAAATATTTGACTGATAATCCTTGAATGACATTTAGAAGTAGATAGAACATTATATAAATCAAATATGACTGATATTTCAACACAATCTTTGCTTATTTTATAGATAGTTGAATGTATATTAGATATTATTTAGTCTCTATATATGTTTGTAACATTGTAAATGTTTGAATGTTGTGTAATTCTCACCTGTTTTAAATTCCCTCCTGTAGACTAGCTACTTGACAAGGTGGAGATCTAAATCAATTATTATGCATGCTCACAACTCTTGAGAAATGTAAGCTTGATTTGGTGGACAAACATATTTAAAATTAAGCTCAGACTCATAGCTCGTTTCTCCTTTCCAGATCCATTTGTTTCCATTTTTCTATTTATAAAGAGCTTAGTGAGATTTTCCTCAACTTGAGTTTTTTTCATTACAGATCCCAACAGTTATGTAAATAAACGAAGTTGGCAGTTGATGGCCGTTACCACAAATATACTTCCTCCCCCAAATACACGAGTTCAGAAATATTTACAAGTTCATCTTAAAAAGTGTTCGATGGATTCTACGACAGAGGAGGGCAAATACGCTAGATACAGTTATAAGGTACTAGCCGTATACAGTTATTAGTTATTTTAAAAATCAATGAAGTATATTTGAGCTAAATGGTGATAAGGAATACGAAGCCCAATGCTCTGTAGCATACCTTGTTGTATTAATAAGCATCATGATGTGATGAAAAAGTTAAAAATTATAATCTTTGATTACAAGAGTTCCCTCCCTTCATTGGTTTCTGTATTTCATTCAGTTACTTGTGACATCTGTGATATATCAGTAACATAATTTTTACTGATAACGAAGTTTGAATCAAGTCTCTTGTCACTGTCAAATACAAATTTTAGCATGACTTTGTCTCTTAGGATACGTTCTCACCAACATCTAACACAAATACACATAGTGAATACAAATACAAATCCAAATAGAAATAGTGAATGCAATGATATAAAATTAATATTGTAGTTTAGAAATTTATATTTATATTTTTCAGTGTCTTTCAAGAACGTTAGAAAAGAAACGCAGGAAATTTCCTCCTTCAACAAGAGAGGTTGAATGTGTCATACACAGGTTAGAAATATTAACAATGGCTTTATTCCCTTCACTCACATAATCATTGAGTTCTTCATTGTATAGTGCTGTAAAATACAAGATTGTAGCATGAGATGAACTCTATCTTATTACTTAAACTAAACCATTTAGAGAATAGAACTAGGCCATTTTCTCTAATTATTGAATTTTACATTGAGAAATATGAAGAGTTTTAATGTAAAATTTTTGTTAAATAAGACCCTGATGTTCGGATAGGTTAAAACTTACATTATTTTCAGAAAACCAATCACAGAGAAAGTATTTTTTATGACTGGTGAAAGTAGAGTGATAGAATTTGATTCAGCTGCTAGCTGTACGGAGGTAAGATAGCGATATGTTTCTATATTGGTGAAAATACCTGACACTGAAATATTCTACAAACAGATTTGGACCCCTGGGTTCTGCTAATTTCCTGAGTTTCAATGGTTACTTTTTGTAAGACCTCCAAACCCAATTCGCCCCATAAATTGGGAAATCTGATAAGATCAGTGGGTGTTTTATGAATTATTAGGGTGGGGTGGGATGAGAGGGCGGTTCAGAATTCTCAGAGGGGGTGGGAGATTCTTGGATCTCCAAAGTTCTTCTCATTTTGCCATAGTGTATTTGAATATAAAATGTGAATTTTATGATATTTTTCGCCAGGTAAATAAAACAATAAAGGCTAAGATTGGAATGAGATCTGATGCTGAGTGTTTTGCTCTGTATGAGTTAATGAGTGGTTCAGAACGAGCAATGGCTACTGATGAAAGATTATCTGATACGTTGAGTAAATGGGAGAGGTTGTCTCGTAGTGGAGCTGTTCGAGAACTACGTCTAGTTTTTAAGGTAATATTACAATTTGATCATTTGTTGCAAAGAACCTGCGTGCTATAGGCTTTGCTTTAAAGAATAAAAAAAGAGATGGCCAATGCTGCTTTCTCATTGCACACTGCATGGTGTTGTCTGTCTTTATCAACTCAAGCAGGTTCAGACAAGGTTTTAAATCTCTCATTTCATCCTTTATAACAAAGAATTTTATATTTTTGATTAGGACAATTGGTCATCTAACACTTCAAAAGAGTTCACATGCCTTTGACCTTTGACCTTTTGATCCTTGGGTGCAAAAACTTTGAAAAAGGGAAAAGGGCTAGAGAGTTGATAAACCTTATATTAAAATGGTTCCACTAGGATTAACATGCCCTATATTTATTATTTTATATTACAGAAAAGATTATTTATTGAACCGTATATTAATCCTAATGATCCTGTCGAGTGTGATCTGGTTTTCAATCAACTGATAGAGAGTGTGTTTGAACAGAGGGTACCTCTCTCCATGCAAGATGCAGTAAGTTTCTGTTTTTATATCTTCTTATCCAGGGTGATTCATTGAGGGACATGAGAATATCAAAAAATGTCCATTGGATGTGAAAATATCTGTTTAAAACAACTTAACCTATCATTTATTGCGATCAAAATTTGGTCAGTTTTTGCATGTTGTGAAGGAGAGAAAAATTTGATGAAGATTCTGGTTCTTTATGTTTTTAATACTAATTACTATATAATATGATGATTGGTTGCCATGGATTCCAGTCAATTGGATTATGGGTATTTACATGATGAACATTCACTTCCTAGTTAAAAGCGTTGCTACCCAATTATATCTTCTGATTAACAATTCTTTTCTTGTTTCAGGTTCATTTATGTGCCTTTAAAGTACAATCTGAGATAGAAGATATGAAAACTGGTGATATAGACTATAGGTTGGTAGAGTTATCTTTTCTTGATTTCAAATAAACAATTAGTTATCTGATAATGTTACATAGTAGCGCAAATATACGTTATTATATACACCTGGGATACGCTTAGTAATAATACAGATAGAAATACACTATTGAATACTCTTCACAAATTACAATTCTTATAATATCAACTGTATTGACTGACATGACCAGCTATTATTGATAAGAAATGTCAGATTGTTACCTAAGATTATCAAAAAACTTCTCCTAAACCAGCTGTTTTTATCAACGTGAGACCAAACCAGACAAATATAGTTCTGAGGTCCTTATGACATTTCAAATCTTCCTTGTACCAATTCTACCTTTCCATGGTGTAATTCTTAAAATAGTTAAAACTAGGATTAGATTATTGATCAGAGTTGTCGATATTTTCTTATTTTATTCTAATCTTTCTCTTCCTCTTGTCTGATCTGTATGTATATTTTACTGGAAGAGGATTTAAACAATTATTGAACTATTAAAAAACATAAGAAGTATTTTTTATGGTTGCAGCACAATTTAAATTCTGGTTCATTTTTTGTTGTTGTTTAGTTTTCAAGACAGTTACTCAATATATTTGAATGTAGCGTTACAGACAATAGGAAACAGAGTTGTGGAAATATAAAAGTACAATCTGGAACTATGATGCAATCTAAGAACTGGACTTTCAGAACCGTCTTGTCTTGCTGAACCACTCCCACAATTATTAACAATTACACTCCGTTTTAATTAACCCTTTTGAAACAAATTCAGTTTGATCAAGTTGATATTAATAGCATACTTTAGAAATAATTTCAGGTATAATTTATATACTACACCTGTAATACAATGTTTGATAAATGACCACTTGGCAATTTTACTTTATTTCTATTTTTCAGCTCTGTGACTAGAATTTTACCACGAGATATGAGACCAACAGTAAAAATAGAAGATATTGCCACCACTCATAAAACAATCTTAGATTTAAGTCCACAACAAGCTGTTCTAGGTTTTATCAATACCTTAAAATCCTGGCATTTATTTGGTGCTGCAGTGTTTGAAATAGGGGTAGGTTTTCACAGAAATATTCATAATTTATAGGGAAGACAACTTACATCATTCTGCCAGCTTGGCAAATCCTTGCCCGTTAACAGAAACATTCAGATTGTACAATTGCTTTGGTTCTACTAGTCCTTGGCCAAATTTCTTGACGATGATTTTATGAGTTTCTATAGCACAGTCGGTTATGTGTTATTTGCTTGGTTACTTGGAACAAATGGTGGCTGTGGGTTCTGATTTCGATCGGCGTGTGAAAGTCTGATGACCTTGAATACGTCATCTTCACTCATATTTCCAGTTGACCCAGCTGTAAATGGGTACAGATAATCCAGGAAGGTCAATGCCATGAGGGTCGGTCAGCTGGTAGAAAGGATCCTTTACTGTAAACCCAAGTTGTTATCTTTGTAACCCAGAGGTTTGGCCAAGGATCAGCTGGTAGAAAGGATCCTTTACTGTAAACCCAAGTTGTTATCTTTGTAACCCAGAGGTTTGGCCAAGGATCAGCTGGTAGAAAGGATCCTTTACTGTAAACCCAAGTTGTTATCTTTGTAACCCAGAGGTTTGGCCAAGGGTCAGCTGGTAGAAAGGATCCTTTACTGTAAACCCAAGTTGTTATCTTTGTAACCCAGAGGTTTGGCCAAGGGTCAGCTGGTAGAAAGGATCCTTTACTGTAAACCCAAGTTGTTATCTTTGTAACCCAGAGGTTTGGCCAAGGGTCAGCTGGTAGAAAGGATCCTTTACTGTAAACCCAAGTTGTTATCTTTGTAACCCAGAGGTTTGGCCAAGGGTCAGCTGGTAGAAAGGATCCTTTACTGTAAACCCAAGTTGTTATCTTTGTAACCCAGAGGTTTGGCCAAGGGTCAGCTGGTAGAAAGGATCCTTTACTGTAAACCCAAGTTGTTATCTTTGTAACCCAGAGGTTTGGCCAAGGATCAGCTGGTAGAAAGGATCCTTTACTGTAAACCCAAGTTGTTATCTTTGTAACCCAGAGGTTTGGCCAAGGATCAGCTGGTAGAAAGGATCCTTGACTGTAAACCCAAGTTGTTATCTTTGTAACCCAGAGGTTTGGCCAAGGATCAGCTGGTAGAAAGGATCCTTGACTGTAAACCCAAGTTGTTATCTTTGTGAAATATAGCTGTTACTTTTTTTTCTAGTTATTAGCTTGAATTCTCAAGGATGCTGTCTATCACCTGTTCCTTTGCATAATCCTTTACTGGATTAACCTTCACCATTTACTGAAATGTTTTTTTTTCCCCCAATGATATCAACTTGGGTTCTCTGCCCTTGCCCTTTTTTGTCTTTCTTGGTTTATCTATACCAATTATTGCTGGGTTTACTTTAAAAATAGGATGACTAATTCAAAACCATCAGACTTTTACCAATGAATCAGACTCCGAGATATTCTGATTCTCTCGTTTCACTAATGATGTCCATATAATATATATTTCCTTTTTCTCCTCTCAGCAAACCTATACATCAATGTTACCTAAGAACCTCCTACTAGCTGTCCATCAGAAAGGTATCCACCTTCTAGAAACCAAAACTTTTGTAAGTACATGATACATTTTAATGGCTAACAGGGGCAACAAACAGGAATGAATTGATGCTGGGGCTCAGATTTTGTACAGAAGAATTAAAAAAGAATTAAAGACACAGAGAACTCATTTCTGACAATTTTGAGAGGCTAAAAACGTGTCAAAATCTATATCTTTTTGATTTGTACAAATGAAATGAACCAATCTATGCAGAACTGAAGGTTTTGCAGGAGGGATTAATTCTAACCCCACCCTAACAACGGGGTTGGTAAAATATCATTGTTATTGTTTCATTTGGAGTAATTTTTAATGTCTGTTTTTTTTTTTTTTTTTTTTGCAGAAAGTCCTGGGTGCCTACCCATATTCAGATATCGCCCATTCTAGTCCTGCTATTAAAAGTATTATGATTGTGATAGGTCACGTTGCCAAGGGAACCAAATTTATGTTCAACACCAATCAAGTAAGTTAAAGATTTTTTTCCCCCCAATATTCCTAAAATTTATTTTAAGATATTTCCTGAATTGTGTTTTTTATATAAAATCTTTTTATTTGTTAGTTTTATTATTATTCTAGTTCTTCTACACTATAATCTATTATTAACATTTCAAACCTTTTATTGTTAAATAGAAAAAAACATATTTTTTAATTGTGATTAATTGAGGATTGGTAGTGACGTCAGTATAATTCTTATCAAGGACACTGGATAATCTTTCTTATATTCTATTATTTTAATAGAACATTAAGTGGCTACAATAGTCGCTGGATAATCTTTCTTATATTTTTATACGCGCACATCTCTCTATGTGGATGTATATTGTCGGCACCCCGTCAACATTTGCTTGTAAACGCTCTAAAAACTAGATTTTTTGATGGAATCAAATGGAATTCCGTATGTGTATACATATTCATAAAACGAAGATCAAGTTCGAATTTGAGCTATTTTCGACCGTTAGAAGCAGAGTTATTGCCCTTGCCCCAAAATCTTGAATATGCTATTACTCTCTTAGTTTTCAACCGATTTTGATGAAACTTAAAATGGATGTTATTGGACCTAAATCGAAAGGCTTGAGAAAGTTTAGTTTACTTTTCAAGATTTAGGCCTGTTACGTCAGAAATATTCATAAAACGATAATTTGGTTCGAATTTGAGCTATTTTCGACCGTTAGAAGCAGAGTTATTGCCCTTGCATATTGAATATTTACCATTCGCATGCCGTGGTGGGCGTATATGGCTGTGGTCCACTATTATTTGAATGGAAAATTAAGTGGCTACGATAGTGGCTAGATAATCTTTCTATCTAATGTTATTTGAAGTTTAAGTGGTTATGATGGAAGGGAAACCCTGTGTTTAACTATTTTAACCAGTGATTATTATTCTGTATCTATATATTATATTGTTTCTATTATTAACTATTATCTATAATTCATACACCTATTTATAATAACATAGTTTCAGATTAATAGTAGGCTACAGATTTAAAATATTTTTATTAATTTTTTGGGGGATATTTTCTGTTAATTCCCTGCTCACAATTTACGTTAAATCTTTAATCCTCGAATCTCAGGTCATTATCCTAATATATACTCAATATATGATAGAATACTTAATAACAGCGAGGAAGAATTCTAAAGATTTGTCGCAGATTTTCAATTTGAAATGTTCTCAGACTAAGGTTCCATCCATTCTGTAAAGATATTTTCAGGAAGTTTTCTGAACTATTTTGTGTATCAGGGACACTGATGGTAGGCATATCAGTTTGCACCATTCCATTTTTCAATCAGACATCTGTGGACCACAGATTATGGTTCCTGCAATTCCATTAAAACTAGGCGTTATATCTATAACTATCATAATTCCTTAGATATTATTAGCTGCTTTAGTGGAAATAGGCATTCCTAACATGTTCGAAACCTCGTAAACAATACAAAATAGAAATTAAAAAAAAAAAAAAAACTTTTATTGAACTCTTTTCACATTTTTTTCCCAATTCCTGAAATACAACTGTGGATTATACAAATCTAAATCTTTACGAGTAATCTTCATGAGTATTATAAAAAGTTTCAGAAAACATTATAAAAGTTATAAATGTATATAAATGCTACTAGAAATAATAGTGGTTAATATTCATGGTGATGTATAATAATTCATGCTAGGTGTATATGTGGTGTTAGAGCAATGTTAGATTAAAACTTAAAACAATTTAGAATATTTTTAAAATGTTTTTCTTAAGTCAATAAATGACATATAAATTAGGTTAT